TGGGCTGGGGACAAGGTGGGCATCGGGCACAGGGGGCACTCCAGGGGCTGGGAGGGCTTTTCCAACCCAGAGGATTCCGTGGGATTGTGTGAGGAGCTCCCCAGTCAGGGAGCAGCTGCCCAGAGTGGTTGGGGTGGTTTGTGCTCCAGGACCACACGCCTCTGCTCCGTTGGGAGATTGGGATACCCCCAAGGATTCAGCAGGAATTGCTCTGCCCGGGAGTGGGAAGGAGGGAAACGGACGGTGAAGGGCTCCTGATGGTTTTGAAGGACTCCTTGGAATGAGTTGTGGTGTTGAGCAGATCAGAGCCCTTTGCTCTGGGGTTTTGCTCTGGGTGGGGAGGCTGCAGGTGGTGCTGGAGGAAGCACGGTTGCTGTGGGGTTCCAGAGCTGTCCAGCAGCACTGGGAGTCCCTGGGACAGGGACATTCCTCCCCGTGTTTCCAGGGGCTGAGCTCCAGGTGACGCTCTGCAGCTCCAGGGTGTCGCAGGGCTGACCCTGCAGAGCCCCCAGGGATGTGGGAACGTGGCTCTGGTCAAACCACCTCTGCTGTACTGGGATGGAGGGAGCAGAGCAGAGCCCTCCTTGTGTCCTGTCCCAGTTCCATGCCCCACACTCCCAGCTGGGGGGCTCAGCACCCTGATCCCGACTCGCCCTTGGCTTTGGAGTGGCTGATTTCACTCTGAGCACCAAGTGAAATGAGTTGGGAGGCTCTTGGGTGTGTTTTCTCCACCTTCCACCCTGTTTTCCCATCACTGTCTCTTTTCCATGTGCCAAAATATTTCTTAAGGGACATTTGGGGAAGCTCCCATGGTTTCCAGGAGGCCCTGGGAGCCGTGATTGACTCTCTGAGTCTGCAAATCTGCTTTAAAGGCTCTTGTGTAGCAGGATGTCACCTTGTCTGGCTCAGGGACGAGCCAGCCCCTTCCCCTTGGTTTGACTCCCATTGTTTGCCACCAGCTGCTCCCCAACACCTCCCTGCTCACCGGGATGTCTGGTTCCCTGTTCCTCTCTGTGAGGGCAGCAGGTGGATGATGGACATTTTCCCTCCCTCCTGCATGGTGCTGGGATGAGGTTTTCCTCTCAGTCCCCTGGAGAGGAAGGAAGCTGCAGGTGTTTGCCCCCCGTGGGAGGCTGTGGCTGTGCCCTGCTCCAGCCCAGCACCTCAGGAAGCTCCTCCCTGGTTTTGGTGCCTCCCAGGACAGAGTTTGGTAGGAAATTCAACCTCCCACCCACCCTTTATCTCCCCCAAATGATTAATTGCTTTCTAGGTGGAGGCTCCCATGGGCTGTTGGCCCGTGTGACCCAGAGCAAACACTGTGGTTTGGCAACTCCTGGTGACTTCTGGTCATTCCCTGCTCACTGGGGCAGCAGGGAATTCCCATGCAGACCAGTTCCTTTGCCAGGCCGTGCCCGCCACGGTCTGTGCCGGCAGGGACAGCTCCCGTGGCTCTTTGGGGAAGCAAACAGGCCTCAAAGTAGGGCAGCTGCATCCTGCCATAAGCTTGGAATTTCCTTCAGTATTGCCAGTTATCAGCTGGCAAAACCAGGACACTCTCAGGTCGGTTTTCCTCTCTCCTTGGTGATTAAATAAAACATGAAGAGCTATTTTGGAGCCTCTTTTCACAGGATCTAAAAATACCAGTGGGGTTGGGGCAGGTCACCTGGAGAAGGGTTGGAACTTGGCTCTGTTCTCCTCTTCAGCCAAGAGTCTCTCTGTAATCCCTTGGATTGCAACACCCCAACACCTTTGCTGGGTTGATTCCAGCCTGGGACAGAGTTGCTCAGATCCTGGTGCTCCGGGTGGGAACACGTCCTGCCCTGGGTGACTCGGCAGCCAAGGGCAGGAGCAGC